GGCACTTAGAACCGAAAATCGAAATCCAAACACGAATCGAATCGGACCGCAACAAACGGTTTGGTTTTACGATTTCGAAACTGAACTGTGGCAAAGAAAACGGTTTGGTTTCGGTTTTGGGTTTTCAAAACCGCGCCATATATTCAGGTTGAGATTTCTGGTGGAATTTGTAGACAGCAGCAGCGTCTGGTATCGAAGGTCATTCGATCCAATACAAGTTTGATTAGACAAGGCTCATGAAATGCAGAGAAAAATCAGCTGTCTTGTGTTGCATGTTGATTCTTGGATGCAGCAGGTTCTTGGAACTATACTCGTGTTGGTGATTGTTCAACAAGAATTACCTTGAGGTTTCCTGCAGTATGGACAATCGGAAAGACAAGTAGCATGGAATGGGAGATTTGGAGCAACAAAAATGTGACAGAGTTGGGTTACTTTGAAAAGATCATGTTCGAAAGTCCTCAGGATGACATTGGAAGGGTTTTGATTCTTGGTGTGAAGTATGAGTACACCAAAACCAAACAAGTAAGCAATTTGTGCCCAAAAAAAGAAGACTGATCATCGCAAGACCAACGTATACCCAAATCTGTTTTCTTATGACATGAGTTTTGATATGTTAGCTAAGAATTCTAAACGACAAGCTTCGTGGGGTAGTTCTGTCCCGATTTCAATACCAGATAGTTTCAATACTAGATGTTGTTGTAGGTTCATTAATTAATATATGAGGAAAAGAAGACCGTCTTATGCGTAAATAGGTGTATATTTTAAATTGTACATTTTTTTCTCAAAAAACGAACCGAAACCGTTTGAAACCGCATCGAACCGAACCAAACGGTTTGGTTTCATTTCGGTTTTGGCTTCAAAACCACACCGCAAAAAGTTTAGGTTGCGGTTTCACTCGAAACCGCACTGAACCACATCGCACCCACCCCTACTACCACATTTCTTCACTGACGTAACTTAGTGTTGTACAGCTTCACCTTTAAGTGGTGGTTATGCCTCTGGGCGACTATGATACTCCTAATTGTGTACATCATTGATGTGATTTATGGATGTTTTATGAATTTACCTTCAGGCGACTATATTATCATTATTGAGCATTGTTTCACATGTACACGATTTATGAATGTTTTTCTTGGCATGCTAGAGTTTTCAGAAAGCCTACTATGTAGTACTATATGCGTTTTCAAAATAGGGAGTTAGTATGTTCAGAAAGAAAATGGTAATCTTATTATTAGTATTATTATTATAAACTTTGGTCAACTCACTTTTTGTTTTGCACTCCCTTCAGGATTTAGAATCGAGGCGTACGATCCTGACGTTAGGGCACTTTTGCATAGGTATCTTCGAGTCTCCTTAGTGTAGGACTCATTCCTTTATTTGTACATTTTTTATTGTAATTCTTTCACATTATTCTTGATTATTTGTAAGCTCTGAACACGCTTCTGCATTTGCGTATTTCTTTATATTTGCATATTTTATTTACTTTCGTTTACTAATACCACTTGAATGCATGTTAAAATGGCTTCGTCACCCTTGGGTGTCGGCCAACACGTGCCCATCCTAGTATTTGGGATATTAAGGTCGGGGCGTGTCAGTTTATTCATCCAAATGCATTAAATAAATGAACGACTCATCATAAATATATTACTTGGTATTCACATTGTCGATTTGTTCTATAAATTTGAATTACTAAATGATCCCTAATTCCAATGAAACTTTTAAGAATGATCTTCAAACGAAGATTAATAGATGAAACGGTTTTGATTATAAAGTTATATGATGAAGATACAGTATTTGAGAATGGTGCAATATGTGCATTCCTCCAGTGAGGGAAGCAAGCATTATCTTCTTCTTTTTTGTTCAACTTTCGTTCACTCTATTTATTTATCATATCCAAATCAATCCTAAACACGCCTAATTGATTCGATCAATAAACACAACATTCAACGAGTCCTCGATTACTCGACCTCGACTTGACCCGATGCCATCCTAGTATCTTAAGATGGCAGGCCATGGCTCCCTCGGCATACCATTAAGATGGCAGGCCATGGCTCCTTCGGCATATCACGACTGACTTTTTCTTTCTTTAACTATGTACCTACAACAAGAGGTTCAAGGAGTTGAATGAAGGCTTTTGTATTTTTCTGTTTTTGAATGCTGAGTGTAGTGGGTAATACTTTGTGCATCTAAAAGTGAGAAACGTTGTATAATGATTTGAACTGTCAATTTTCTAAAAGGTAAATGGTTTCAATCATTATGCAACATTGTATGACGAAAATAAGAGCCGAATGGTCAATGGCATCCCCTTTAAAAGTCCCATTTATTTTAGTATACTCTACTAAATGTCAAATTACATGTTAATTAGAAAATAGCAATGAATCAAAACCGGTGCGAACTTGAAGATTTTGTTTTGGGACCAGAAAGAGAGAGGTGAGAGACTTGAGAGATACAGTAGAAATTAGGGAGGAAGAAGAAAACTTGTAGCTCATTGTTTAATTTTCACATAGTTTTCAGCCATTTTAAATTGCATAATAATATGTTGATGTTTATTGAAATTTACTTGTCACTTATCAAGCAACCAAAATAGGCACAAAACACGTGTTTTGTATCCTTTTCAATTTGTCACTCCCATTATTTTTTGAATCTTGGATACGTATTGAAATTTTCAATTGCCTTTCATGTTAGAGAATGTCACTGTAGCGGTATATCAGGTTAATTATGTATTGTTATTTGAAAATCTTTAAATACATAACAACGGATGATTGACTTGAGATACTTGTACATAAAATTCTCATTGTAAATAAGTACATATGATTATGTGAACTTTAATTATAAATACAAGGTCGGATTAAGAACTAAAGGAAAGAAAGTTAACATCAAGTTTTCATTTACTTGACACAAAGATTAAATTTAAAAACGACACGATTACAAAAGAACTAATTTAAACATGACACGATTATAAATGAGTCGACATCTCAACTACGAAGCACATTATAACACAAATTGTCAACTGTATTTAGATGTGAACATCGAATACGGGCAATCGTTTGTAAATCACAATGTCAACCATGGTCGTGCTTCTATATAGTGTTCGTGTTAATATGACGCATGTTAATACTTATTAATAAACATGTATAAGTTAGTAATTAAACAACGTAAGAGGGATTAATGGGAGAATGACTCACGTAATTTGTAAGCAGCAGATCCATACTTTACAACCGATAACTCAAAAGCCGGTCCCTGCATTCACACTCTGGCTTCTTCTCCTCCTCGAATTTTTTTTTCCCTTGGAATACGGCTTGAACACCAAATCTCATAATATACGTGGTTAGATATTTTTATTTTAAGCATCTATCAATTTATATTATGATACTTGATACACTAAACCGTGTTCTTCATGCTGAAAATCTATTCTCCTCCTCCTCCTCCTCCTATATACTACAAACATGCATGCACTTAGATACCTCCAGCCAATGTTTCAGGGATCAAAGTGATAATTTGCTAAAATATTCTGCCTTTTCCTACTCTTACTCCCAAGTTATCGTTTTATTCTTTTTTTTTTCTTTTTTTTTTCTGTTTGTTTTTTTATGTCAACCAATCATTTCATGCCAACAAATTGGGTTACATTTTTTGTAGTTTGTAGTAACTTAAGATGTCGATATGGATTATGATATTTACAATGATGACTGCATCCTGATCACAATGATTGGGTAAGCAACAACCCATCCTTTTTAAACCCTAAAGCAACAAGAAATTTGACTTAAAACCGCAAAACAAGAAATTGAAAAAGATAGATTGCTTAGCGATGGTATAAGAAAGTGTAGACAGAAACTTCAGTAAAGCTGTCTGATTAAGTAACTATCATAATAGGTATGATTAGCGTGAGGTAGGTTTTGACTAAAACACGAAGATCCTAACCTTTTGTGAGAGTTTTACAAATAACTGATCTGGGTGGCCCAACACAATTTTTTCTTAAACATGTGACATGACAATATGGTAATATGTTCACTTAATTTATAATGCACATTAGACTTATTGTATTCATCTTATAATCTGAGTGAATTATGTGAAGTTCAAGATAAGTAGAAAAACTTATGTACATGTTTCTATAGTATGTATAATAAGAGATTCTCTTCACATAACATCTGTTCTTTGTTAACAATCAATGCGTCCAAAAATCTCACTGATACTCAATTTTAAAGCTTCTAGGATTTAGATTAGTCATAAGTATCAAATGCCAAAAATTTGAGCGATTAACTAATCTGAGACTAAAACTCTAAACTCTAAAACTCTAAATTATAAACGATGATTCTACATTCTAAATAATCGAAATATCAATAAATGGGACCAAAGTTGAAGAAACTAGAAGTGAGATTGACATTATACAACATATAATGTGTGAGGCAAGTAGACTGTACATTGGATTCTTACTTTTAACAATGTGATAAAAAGATACAAATACTTGTATTTATATTCTATTCCTAATAATTTATCTCTAATTCTTGACAAGCTGTAAACAAATACTCGCTATATTTGCAACAAGTCTAATTTAAAGAAGACAACATGATAAACTCCAGCTAAATTAAAAATTATCCTAATCATTACCCAATTTAAGATGATTATTTTGGACTTAAACCCAATTTCTGATAAATTATCCAATAAGGGATCCTTCCGAATCCCTTCCACCAAATTCATCAAGTTCGAAAATCTGGACCATTGAAATTTAATTCAACGGTTTCAAACAGAAACTCATTTTAAAAGTTATAATAACTTTAACCGTTTGATCAAATTTTAAAAGTCTAGATCCTCTGATAAATTTGATAAAAATGATCTGGAAATAATCCCTTTCCAAATTCTCCAGACACCCTGTCCGGCGAGATGTCATGTCCCCCATCACAGAAGGAGAAAGAAAATGCTGTAAAACGCAGAGAGAAAATTTTGAAATTTAACAAAAGCTCCATGGACCCCACCACCCCCACCGTGACCCCACACATCAAGAATAAGAACAGCCTGTGATGGAGGAGCTGTTAACGCTACATTTCACAAAAACACCCCACCTCCTCAAAAACACAAAAACAAAACCCCCCACGAACCACATTTCCCCATCCTCCTCTGTTCTCCTCTGTTTTTCTCCATTTTCTCAGAGCTCGAATTCAGAGAAAATGCCCGCAAATCATTCACTTCCAGTTTCTCAGGAGCAATTAACAGAGCAGCCGGGGCTGCGCAGACGGCTGTCGTCTCTGTCCCTCAAGCTCCAGCCCATCTCCTCCCCTGCAACTTCATGGGCACTAAGCCGGTCGAAGTCGGTTTCCGCCATGGGAGAGTACGCCGGAGGATCCATAAGAAAATGGTGGGTCCAGAGCTGGGCATGGATCATGTCCAGAAAACCCATTTTTGCCCAGGATCTGGAGATGAACGAGGAAGAAACCAAAGTGCTCGGATCCGACAACAGAGGAAGCTGGAGGCATGTGTTCTACAAAGTCCGGTCGGAGCTCAAGAAACTCATGGGATCTGATGTCGGTAGCCTGCCGCAAACTTACAGGTACAATTTTGATGATAGCAGGACCAAAACCAAGAAAGTTTACGGCTGAGATTTGATGGGTAAGTGCTGCTTTTTGAAAATAATCAAGAAAGTTGGGGCCTTTATAGAATTAATAAGAGATTCAACGGCCCGAAAATTCGATACCAGATCATCAAAAGTACTGCTTGTTATTGTTCCAAACATGAATATCAGTGTACCAATGTAATTAGACTATGTTTGTTGTTTTGATGTTCTTATTTTTTTGTCATGTGGGATTGTTGCTACAGAGGGGTGGGGTTGAAAAATTAACGGTGGTCTGAGGGGTTTCTCTGCAAATTGTGGAAAGTTGAAGGAGTGGTGGGCAAGGCAGGGGTGGTGGTGGTACTGAGATTTAATCCAACAATGGAGATTGCAGAGGTTGCTGCATATCATCATAAAATTAGGGAGCATTTTATTGATTAGTAAATACTAAATATCTATCATGTTATTATTATTATTTTTTAATTACAAAGCAAATATTTTTGCAGATTCTCTTTTAATATTTGTATCAAGTGTTAATTTATGTGCTAGTTAATTGCTAATAAATGGAATATTTATTTATAAATTAGCTCTTATTTCTTCTTCCTTGAGATTTTGCTTAATTCAATCCTCATTATCTCTTAATATTTTTTTTAACAAACAATATTATTTACTTTAATAAAAGAAGAATACCACTAGCACTAAGTGGCTCATTAACTCTTAATCTTGTGTATTAAGAAACTTGGGATTTTTATGTGATGCAAAGTCAATTCCAATATTGGTAGATCTAAGACGTGGGATGCATGCCTTTGAACTGAAGTTTGCTCCTCCTTTTTTCTTTCCAAAAAAAAAAAAAAAGAGAATCTCTACACATATAATATTTTTAAAATAAATTCGAACACCAACGTATAGCCACTCATATTACGGATGTTTCTGCATTTGTAAAGGTTGAAATACAGAACGTTTAAGTTCACGACTCGTTTTCGTCTCTTTTACCAATGGACCATGTTCTTAAGATTCTCTTTTTTGTTGCTTTGGTAACTGGTCAGAATCAATACGAAAAACAAAGCAATATGGCCAGGGAGGGATGGAGCGTCGGTGATGTAGTCGAAACGAAAGTGTCTAATACCATTGTCCATGGACGGTTAGGTTATGAAAGAGATGTACGTTCTTTATCAAAGAGCCAAATGTCGAAATATCATTGATAACGCATCAGCGTGATTGCCGTCGAGAGAACGTACCAACAAATTATCAATGCATTTTGAAAGCGTGATACGTAATAATGCAGGTTGGTTTTAATACTAAACGGACGAGAAGCATGCAAAATTCAGTATTAATGCAAAAGTACAGACGATGATCAAACTTCTACAGACAAAGATTACCGCATGAAGGCTTATCTTGTTACAGTCTCCTGGAATTCGTATCTAACTTTGCATGGTGGGGTTTGCATGTTTTGTAAGAATTAAATTCCTTTGGATTTTTTGAAGAAGTAAGAATAGTAGGAGGACTTTATAGTGTCATATGCATGAAATATAGGGACCAGATACCCCCATTCACCGGAGCCAAGTAGAAAAGTGTCGGTGTATATATTTAGTTTCTCATTCTTTTCCAATAAAAAAAGGGAGACTTTGGATGCGGTCCATAACTATGAATATTCTTTTACTAAAACCTTATTGGTTTTCAATTTTTGATCAAAGTCCCTGAAATTAATGTGATAATTTATTTCTATGTACGTTACTATATTTTTTAAATTAAAAATTTATATTTATATTTGTTTATATTAATGAGATTTTAAATAAAAAAACCATAATTTGTGGGATTAAAAATATTAAAATATAAATATACTGATGTGTGTGTGTGTATATATAAACATGGGTACATTCATCAAAATTAATCAAAAAATTATTGTATCAAAACATGAGTACATTCTTCAAAATCACAAAAAAGAAAGAAAGAGATATTAAGCTTAATAATATTAGTACATTTTTTCGATTAAACTTAACATGGATACATTCTCAAATCAAAGAAAAAAGAATGTACCCATATAGGTTTAAAAATGAATTAGAAAAAAATTGAATAGATTTTATATATAAAAAAAGTGGTACATTTTACATATAACAAATTGATATATTTAAGAATGAGTACATTTTAGATTAAAAATTTGAAAAAATTACAGGAATGGGTACATATAATTAGCATGGGTACATTTAGCAAAAATAAAAATGGGTACAAATAAATAAAAAAAATATGGGTACAAATACAAATAAAACTTTAAAAAATATGGGCACAAAAAGAAATTAATATATATGGTTACAAATTAAAACTAAAAAGAAAATTGGTACAAATTAAAAATGCGTACAAACTAAAAATAAAAATATATGATAAAAATATACTAATGGTAACATTTTTAACATTAAATGAATATATTTAGAAATAAAAATATTTTATTATTGAAATAATTAATGATGTTATTAATATCAAGGACTTTGATTAAAAATTGAAAAGGAATAAGGTTTTAATCAATGGAGTAACAAAAGTAAGGATGAAAACCTAATTTCTCCATAAAAAAATAACCAACGGTTCGTCGACGTCCCAAAAAAAAAACACACACACATAAAAAAAGGGTATGAAATGAAAGCACTAATTTTTCAAAGATGAACGATGGATTTATTTGAAAAGCTCAAACTCTATAAGAGGAGTCTCGGAAGAAAACATCCTGGATAAAATCGAGAGGATTCTCAAACCAAACTAAGTCATGAACAATTAAAGGGGAGAACTTAGTCAAACGGTGAGCAACACCATTACAAATACGAGACAAATGAAACTGAATCTCAGCCAAAATACTAATTAGTTATTAGTATAAATTGACCCACACCATTTTGATCGTATAGGTCAATTTCAGAAATTATTTTGTAACAAAAACTTTTACATCATGTGGGTCTTATTTATGTGTCACATCAGCATATAACATAATCGTTAACATAATTATGATGGAATAACTTAATTTGTAATACCAATTTTCAGAAACTACATTGATTGATTTTCAACTTTAAGAATCATTTTGATGGTTTCAATCAATTTCAAGACGGATATAAACCCAACAAATTAGTTATGAGTTTTAGTGTTTTGAGTTTTGACCAAATCATGGATTAGCACATGGATCCCATGATCGCACCGACTAAATAGTTTACAATTATTGGACTAGACTGGAGGGTCAATTGGTAATGGCTGAGCTGCCAAGTGCTAAATGCTAATTAATCATTAATCTTTTATTCCTTTAACCCTTTTACTATATTTTATTATTGTTTAATCCCAGGACGGACTTAATATATATAAATTTATAAGACGTGCATGGTAAGCATTAACCAATATTAGAAAACTTCCTCAACTAACCATAATCAAAATTAACTTAGTTGTTAGGATAGTGTTGAATTAGACCTTAAATACGATATATACTTGTATACACCGTGGAGTTACAAGACAAGTAAAGAGCATGTAATATTTGTAACAAATTTTAGAAGAATAATTTTTTACAATAAAACGCTTCTTATTAATTATACCTTAAAATTGTTGTTGAGTTTTAGAAACACTCGTTACGTAGAAAGCACTTCAAAACACATATGTCATAATTTTTTTTTTTTAAGTTTCTACTTATTTGTTATAAGGACACATCAAGATGTGGTCCTTGATGCGTCACGAGCATAGATTTAAAAATCGATAATCGCCGATATTATCGTTTTTTTCATATCACGATATTTCGTGAGTATTTCTTTAAAGTTTCTACTTATTTGTTATAATATCGCGGGATGAACCTAAAAATATTTGAAAATTTCTGAAAAGTCTCAAACATGCACATAAAGGCTTGACCACCATACCACTTACGTTTTTATGAAAACATGCTAAACTATTTATATATATGGTTTTGTTTTGAATTCTTTTTGCAAGAAACAAATTTGCACATATTCCAAATTTTTTGTGGTATTATATTTTAAATTGTGTCAATTAATTACTTTGTCAATGGCATGTGGTTTTTAATTTTTCTATTTTTTATTTGGTCACTTACATGTATGGTTGGAAAAAATTCCCGAAAATCCCAAACCAAACCGAAAAAGTCCCAAACCAAAACCATCCCGAAAAATACCGAAATTTTCGATATGGGATTGGTTTCCAAATCCCATTTGTTTGGTAATCCTGAAATCCCGAAAAATACCGAAGTATTCGGTTTCCTATTGACTTTTGGGTTTCGGTTCTTGAAAGCCATTGCTATGGTTGCTGACTACTCTTCACAATACACTTACTCTACACATAGTGATGATGAAGATAGTGAAAATTTTGAACCTCATAGGAACTCTATGTGGTACTTAGTCACTCATGTATCTTACCATGCAATGTATAAGTGTAAAATATTGTACTAATTCATTATATATAAACGATTATGGTGTGTTTAAACTTCTTTCATTAATTATTATATATTTTATACACTCACAATGTTTGCCAGCTCGCTATATAATCAACTTAAATCAGTTAAATCCATCATGCAATGCATTTCCTTCCAATTTTTTATGATAAATTAATAGATAATTGACTAAATAAACAGCCTGTAAAGTTTCAATAAAAATTTCCAAGTTTTTCTTACAATTTCCGTGGTTTCCATGTAATTTTTATCGATATCGATATTATCTCGATATTTCCATCGATATTTCCGTGTTTTCGGACTACCGATATTTCCGATATTACCGATATTTTCTTCCTTGCTCCTAACAATCTCATCTCCCTTTGGAAATACTATAAAACCACACTACACTGGCCATCAAGTGGATGAAATACATGCAACAGCATCAGCATGATTGTGGAATCCCCATAGGGACAGTGTGTGTGTGTGTGTATTACAATTTACATATGTAGCTCATTTCACATTCCTACTAGGGAACATTCTCACGCTCACTGACAGAAAGTGGCTCTTGATTCATATACACAGACCAATATTATTTATTTTCTATATATATATATATACTATTTTTTTAATATATATATCGCCGATCTTAGATAGAACCAAGGAAGAAAATATCGGTAATATCGGTAGTCCGAAAACACGGAAATATCGATAGAAATATTGGGATAATATCGATATCGATAAAAATTACATGGAAACCACGGAAATTGTAAGAAAAACTTGGAAATTTTTATTGAAACTTTACAGGCTGTTTATTTAGTCAATTATATATTAATTTATCATAAAAAATTGGAAGGAAATGCATTGCATGATGGATTTAACTAATTTAAGTTGATTATATAGCGAGCTGGCAAACATTGTGAGTGTATAAAATATATAATAAATAATGAAAGAAGTTTAAACACACCATAATCGTTTATATATAATGAATTAGTACAATATTTTACACTTTATACATTACATGGTAAGATACATGAGTGACTAAGTACCACATAGAGTTCCTATGAGGTTCAAAATTTTCACTATCTTCATCATATCACTATGTGTAGAGTAAGTGTATTGTGAAGAGTAGTCAGCAACCATAGCAATGGCTTTCAAGAACCGAAACCCAAAAATCAATAGGAAACCGAATACTTCGGTATTTTTCGGGATTTCAGGATTACCAAACAAATGGGATTTGGAAACCAATCCCATATCGAAAATTTCGGTATTTTTCGGGACTTTTTCGGTTTGGTTTGGGATTTTCGGGAATTTTTTCCAACCATACATGTAAGTGACCAAATAAAAAATAGAAAAATTAAAAACCACATGCCATTGACAAAGTAATTAATTGACACAATTTAAAATATAATACCACAAAAAATTTGGAATATGTGCAAATTTGTTTCTTGCAAAAAGAATTCAAAACAAAACCATATATATAAAGAGTTTAGCATGATTTCATAAAAACATAAGTGGTATGGTGGTCAAGTCGCTGAAGGAGTTAGATGGGTGGGGTTCGAACCCCTTTATGTGCATGTTTGAGACTTTTCAGAATTTTTCAAATATTTTTAGGTTCATCTCGCGATATTATATATAATATCGCGATATATTAACGAAAATTAAAGAAATACTCACGAAATATCGTGATATGAAAAAAACGATAATATCGGCGAAATATCGCCGATATTATCGATTTTTAAATCTATGGTCATGAGGAGCTAGTGTTTTCCACGTTAGGGATGTTGAATTAAGCTTCACCCATACTTATTACTTATGTTATATGAACTCGACTAATTAAACTTTATCCAAACTTATTTGGGTTGACTTTTCAGAATTTTTCAAATATTTTTAGGTTCATTTCGCGATATTATATATAATATCGCGATAATATCCATAATATCGCGATATTATCGCGATATATTAACGAAAATTAAAGAAATACTCACGAAATATCGTGATATGAAAAAAACGATAATATCGGCGAAATATCGCCGATATTATCGATTTTTAAATCTATGGTCATGAGGAGCTAGTGTTTTCCACGTTAGGGATGTTCGCCGATATTATCGATTTTTAAATCTATGGTCATGAGGAGCTAGTGTTTTTCACGTTAGGGATGTTGAATTAAGCTTCACCCATACTTATTACTTATGTTATATGAACTCGACTAATTAAACTTTATCCAAACTTATTTGGGTTGATATTTATTTTTGAAATTTGTTTTTAATAGGTGTCTTATTTTCAATACTCACATACATTGTTTGACACACCCCGACTGTGATAGCCCGTCCCGAGAAATATTTGTATCGTTGTTGTGAAATTACTAAAATACCCTTGGACATTGAGATGTGTTGTGTGTGACTTATATTTAAGTTGGATTTAATCGTTATTTTCCTAAGTCTTAGAACTAAGGGAACTAAAAAGGACTTAGTTTTGTTGGTTGGAAACCAAACTAGGACCACACACACACAAATTACCCTTTCTCTCTCTTCTCTCCCGTGTCTCTCTCTCTCTCTCTCTCAGACTCACTTTCTCAAACCTTGTAGATCAAAGGTTTTAAGATCACCATTGTGTTCCTGAGGTTCATACGAGTTGAATGGTACCATTTTCAAGTAAGAACTCATTCGAAAACTCGTGAAAACCCTAATCCGATTTATGTCACTATTCATGCAATCGTAAAATGTTGTGTTTTGGGGGATTTCAAGACCATAGGAAGCTTTAGGAGGTCCTTACGAAGCTCGGAGTACTTCGTTGGAAGGATTTGGACGTCGAAAAGTGGAGATTGACAAGTTTTAAGTTTTGACCGGATTTTGAAGCTTTTCCCGGCATGATTATGTGGATTTTGAGGCTTCAAACAGGTATAACGTTGTTCTACGCATCTCCAGCTTTCCATTGGTGCAAATTTCATAGAAAATGGTGAAGAAACGAGTGAGAAAATAAGGTTTTTCGATTTCCTAGTTTTCCGACGACGCAGCGGTGACCGGAGGTTCGTCGGAGAAGGAGGAAGATTATTATGTTAAAGTCAACGGAATATTCTTAACGGCGTCAGGTTAATTTTAACGAAATCTGTTAGTTTTGACGGAATATTCCTAACGGCATTAACTGACGCCGTCAGTGTGCCTGGCACGTGGCCGCGCATTTTATTAATGCAAAAGTACACATTAAAAAAGGGTATGAAATGAAAGCACTAATTTTTCAAAGATGAACGATGGATTTATTTGAAAAACTCAAACTCTATAAGAGGAGTCTCGGAAGAAAACATCCTGGATAAAATCGAGAGGATTCTCAACCAAACTAAGTCATGAACAATTAAAGGGGAGAACTTAGTCAAACGGTGAGCAACACCATTACAAATACGAGACACAAATGAAACTGAATCTCAGCCAAAATACTAATTAGTTATTAGTATAAATTGACCCACACCATTTTGACCGTATAGGTCAATTTCAGGAATTATTTTGTGATAAAAACTTTTACATCATGTGGATTTTATTTATGTGTCACATCAGCACATAACATAATCTTTAACAGAATTATGATGGAATGACTTAATTTGTAACACCAATTTTTAGAGACTACATTAATTGATTTTTAATTTCAAAAATCATTTTGATGATTTGAATCAATTTTAGGACGGATATAAACCCAACTAATTAGTTATGAGTTTTAGTATTTTGAGTTTTGAGACCAAATCATGGATTAGCACATGGATCCCATGATCGCACCGACTAAGGGCTGGTTTGGTATTGTTGTGCTTTGAAAAAAAGCTGCTGTGCTGTGAGAATAAGCGGATGTGAAATAAATCAGCAGAGTGTTTGGTAAACTTTTTTGTAAAAGTGCTTTTGGAAAAAAAAAGCAGTCTAATAGTGGGTCTTTTCATTAAAGAAGCACTGTAGCTCCGTATGCTTTGAAAAAAAGCCAGTTTTCCAAAGCTGCAAATAGCAGCTTCAGCTTTTTCCTTTGATTTCAGCTTATTCTCACAGCAGCTTCCAAAATAAGCCCTTTTTTTTTAGTTTACCAAACACCTAAAACCCTCACAGCTTTTTTTCATGGGTGTTTTTTTTTTAAGCACCTCACTCCCAAACTAGGTCTAAATAGTTGACAATTATTGGACTGGACTGGAGGGTCGATTGGTAATGGCTGAGCTGCCAAGTGCCAAATGCTAATTAATCATCAATCTTTTATTCCTTTAACCCTTTTACTATATTTTATTATTGTTTAATCCCAGGACGGACTTGATATTTTAATATAAATTTATAAGACGTGCATGGTAAGCATTAACCAATATTAGAAAACTTCCTGAACTAACCATAATCAAAATTAACTTAGTTGCCAGGATAGCGTTGACCTTAAATACGAGATATACTTGTATACACCGTGCCGTGGAGTTAGAAGATAAGTAAAGAGCATGTAATATTTTTAACAAATTTTAGAAGAATAATTTTTTACAATAAAACGCTTCTTATTAATTATACCTTAAAATTGTTGTTGAGTTTTAGAAACATTCGTTACGTAGAAAGCACTTCAAAACACGTTTGTCATAATTTTTTTTTTAAGTTTCTACTTATTTATTATAAGGACACATCTAGGTGTGGTAGTACTTGATGTGTCATGAGGAGCTAGTGTTTTCCACGTTAGGGATGTTGAATTAAGCTTCACCCATACTTATTACTTATGTTATATGAACTCGACTAATTAAACTTTATCCGAACTTATTTGTTTTTAACATGTGTCTTATTTTTAATACTCGCATACATTGTTTATATTCTTTAGTTCTAGTTTAGTTCTAGTTGAATCAAACAAAACGGGCCGTGCTCATTCCTAATTAGTACATTTGTGTTTTTGTCAATGCACGTCAAAAACGCACATCTAAGTTACACATTATAACAAGAGTCATTAGATTCTGTTATATCAAATAATTTGAGGGTTCTTGTTGTGATTGTAACTTGTATGTGCAATTTTGACGTGCATTACACAAAGTTGCACATACAATATCGATGGGCTTGGGTTTCACCTCTTAAACTCACCCAACTTTTGGAGGTCCAAGACTTTAAATTGGAGTAGGGGCTAGCAACCTTTGCACTAAGGGAATATTTTTGCGCTCCTTAAGTGATATTGATATTCAACACCATATTTATCATTGTTTGATGTGTTTAAATTTCAAAATTCGTGTAGTGGATATACAAATTTCAAAATTTAAACTCATCTAGTGACAATACGTATGATCATTATTACCATTTGAGAGGTAGTGAGTAAAAATGGACATGGCTTCTCTGCCCTCCCACTTCCCATACACTCTCACCCCCTCCTATTTGTGCAGTCACGGTTAAGCCACGTCAACATTTTATATTACTATTGTTTTTTGTCTTATTATCTTTATAAAAAAAATCAATATAAAATATTGACGTGGCTTAACCATAACTGCATAAAATAGAAGGGAATAAGAGTGTATGAGAAATGAGAGTGCAAAGAAGCCGGGTTCAGTAAAAATACATCTTACTTTTGCATTTGAACTTTTTTCACTTTATCAAATGTCACTTGTCATTTTGTACACATAAAACAAGCCTTCAAAGATTTTATCATTTGTTAAAAAAATGACATCTGGTAAAGGAAAAAGGATCAAATTTAAAAATTGATATTGTGTGAAAAATATAAGGTGACAAATAATTTACAGAGAATTCAACTTTTGGGAGAGCTGTAGCACTTTTCAGAGGAAACACATAACCTAATACGACATCGTTTTGCTGAAGGCCAGTCTAAGTAATTATCGCCATTTGGTTCACCGCCTGCCAAGAGATACAAAAGAATATTCCGTCGTCTTAGTTTGTGCAACCAAGAACAAGGCCATAAACTGCGTCATTGTCCTTCCCCACCTCATTCCCGCGGCTGATGATAAAAGCAGAGAGACGGACAGCCACCACAATCCACCCCATATTTATGAAAAACCAACTCACATGGCATTGGCTCTAAACAGCATAATCCCCCACACCACAGCTTTAAGCCTACGCACTTCTCTGCCCTCTTCCAAAATGCCCTCCAGCCCCCAATTCCAACAGCCTCACAACCGCCGCCAGAGCGGTCAGATTGTCCGGAGCGCCGCCTCTTCCTCCTCCAACACCGCCGTCTCAGATGTTAAGCTGCAGCTCCAGGAGAAGGACCACAGCAATGGCTTCAACCCCACTTCCACGTTTGCTCCTGGTGAGCGTATTTTAAGCGCTTTTGCCAAAAATCTGCTTATTTAGTTCTGGATTTTTTGGGTTCTGTTGAAATCATCTGATTGTTATTGTAGCATAAAAAAGTTTGCATCTTTGCATGTTATTAAGTATTTTCAGCCTAGCAATGTAGAGTTGGATAAGAGATTTGGTGTGTAAAATTCCATTCTTTGGATTAGGGTTGCATAGCAGATGATAGGAAGAGGATAAATGGGAAATTGAGTAATGAAATGTATAACTTTTCTGATTAATTTCCAAAGAAATTGCAATCTGCCAATCTAAAACAGTCAGTTATTTAATTCCCGGTTTCATTTATAGTAGAGAAGGCACTGGATAAGAGATATGATGGATAAGTTTCCATTCGTTATGTTAACTATTTGAAGTGTAGAATCTAAAAGTTGATATATTTAAGGTACACTATAATTCAATTTCTCTTTATCTATCTCTTTTACATGTTCAAGCGTGGTCCGAATTTGCCAGAAATGTGTCCGGTGAATGGGATGGCCATGGAGCGGACTTCACAAAGGAAGGGTATCCGATAGAACTTCCCGAGAATGTAGTGCCTGAAGCTTACAGGGAGTGGGAGGTTAAGGTTTTCGATTGGCAGACTCAATGCCCCACTCTTGCTAACCCAGATGAGCACATTCTTTTATACAAGAATATAGAGCTACTTCCTACTGTTGGATGTGAAGCTGATGCTGCTACTCGATATAGAGTCATTGAGAAGAATGTTGGTGGTCTGAGTAACGAAGTTTTTGCCTTTGCATATCAGTCTAGCGGATGTTATGTGTCTGTCTTGCCAATTCAGGATAAGGGTACGTATAAGTTACAGGAGTTGGAGTATTGCTTGATCAATCCTCAAGATAAAGAGTCTCGGGTGAGAATAATTCAGGTCATCCGCATAGAGAATGAGAAGATGATGCTGCAGAATATTAGAGTTCACTGTGAGAATTGGTATGGGCCATTCAGAAATGGGGATCAGTTAGGTGGATGTGCTATCCGTGATTCTGCTTTTGCTTGTACGGCTGCACTGGAAGCTTCAGAAGTTGTTGGAACTTGGCGGGGTCTCAGTGCTGTTGCCAATTTCCGTGGCACTCAAAATGTGAGTTGATCCTCCTCCTTTTGGTCATGTGTATATTTGTATGATATGCTTAACCTAAGCAAAAATCCTTGAATATCTTTAAGTCTGCTGAAGCGGTTCAAAACATTCTTTTATAAAAGTTAGGCACTTTGCTCACTCCGTAGGTTCACTTCATTTGTTGTTTTTGTCACTGTGGGCATCACAAAACATCGACATATTTCTTTCATTGAATCTTCATTGATCATTTTGTGTCACTCTTTAATATCTTTTCTTTGATATTTTCTGAAGTTATGGCCTCCTATCCATTGATTTGGTAGATAGTCATTTATTTGTCAGATTTTTTGGAACTCCCTGGTCTAATTAGTATATAATGTGAACTTGAAGAACAGAATGTTTTTCAAGAACTTTTAGTCAACAGTGAGCAGAGCTCCATGAGAGATGAAAGTGGTCTCGTATTGCTTCCCAAGCGGCTGTGGTGTTCCGTAAAAGAAAGTAAAGATGGTGATACTTGCAGCGAGGTAGGATGGCTGTTAGATCATGGACGAGCTATCACATCAAGATGCACCTTCTCAAGCACAGCAACGCCACAGGCAAGTTAGCATGTACAGACTCGTTTATTATTGGTTTTCAATGTTTGGTGCAGTATGTCAGCATCCAATGATGAGAACAAACCAGCTAAGGATTCTGTCCCAACATATTTGACTTGATCATCGTAAATAGGTTCTGAGAGATGGTTCATCTATTCATCTTTGGATAGTGCTTCCATATTTATAGCTTCCCTGGTGAAATTCATCCGTGTCAATAGAATTATTTTGCTCCGAATAAGTTTTTGTCTTCATATCCTTTTTGTTTTTAGTTTAGTCACGTAAATCAATCTGCAATTCTGATCACTCAGTGTCTCGCGTACAGTGTAGACATGCTTATTTTGACATCATTCATCATCTTCTTTTACAGGAAATCTCAGTAGTGAATGAAACTGCAGTTTTGAAGGGCACATAGACATTTTGGATGAACTCAAATTCGCAATATGCAAACACAGATATAGGACTCATGAAATGTATCTAAAGTTTTTCTCTTCCTGTATTTTTTTGTTTGTTGGGATATGTTTGATTTAATGTATAGCAATAAAGGCATCCACATGAATGTAGAAAACTTGTGTCATTTTTTTTCAAATTCATAGTATACAACATGCTTTGAAATCTTTGTACAAATGATTTCCAAGCTTATTTACAAACAAGATGGTAGCTTTGATTAGATATGAAGTAAACAAAACATACAAGGTTCCTTATATATGGACGTTTAGGGTGTGTTTGTTTCCCTTCACTAGCCCTCATTGGACTGGACTAGACTAATAGTTAGTCCAGTCCCATGTTTGCTACTTCACAGGACTAGCTTTAGTGGGAGTAAGCCGGCTCGCCTCGACTAAGGATCATGCTAGACGGTCTTAGTGAGAGACGTCGCGAACCATGGGACTAGCTAATCTTTTTGATCGCTCTCTGCTCACGTCCTCTACTCTCCTCTCTGCTCGCGTTCTCTCCCTCTCTCCTCGTCCCCAACCCTGAATCATGAACAAAGACCTCGATTCGAGATGGGAACCGGAATCGGAATCAGAATCGGACTTTTGCAGTGATTTGCCACACTTTTCTGTCCCCAGAGGGTTCAGTTTGCGATCTCGCTTGAGTTTTGATCGAGGAGTTTGTATTGGGTAGGTAGATTTGGGGTTTTACAATCAGCTAATCGAAATATCGAATTTGAAATTACTGAAATTCTGGGAATATTGGGGATTTGTTCTAATTCATTGCTCTGAAATGTAGGGTTTTGGGGTTTTGTAGTTGCAGGAGGAGAAGATGAAAGTCAACATCTTGCGTATCCTTCTCACTGTGTTTATGTTATTCTGTTCTTTCTTTCAAACTACTCTAGTTTATATACCATTTGCAACTAGCTCATGTAATTTTCTGTACTTTTTATTCCAAGATATTAACTTTGTTGCATTTAATCATATTGTAGACTGAATTTTGGCTTGATAGTTTCAAATTCCTATGATTTTGATTTTGTTCTTTCTTTCAAATTTACTAGTTTATACCATTTAGAAATAGCTTTTGTAATGCTCTTTTCTTTCCCGTCTTTAAACTGTTGCATCTAATCGTGGTGGAATGAATTTCAGCTTGACGGTATTGAATTTCTATGATTTGTCATCCTCTGGAACTATGAATAGTTAATGAGCTGTAGAGTTTTACTACCTTAATTGTAGTCTAATGTTATGAATGGCGATCACAAGATCAGCATCTCTTATGTTAGTCATGAATCTCTAGCATATGCTCACCCTATTTATGATTCGGTGCGATTATCTTTTTAACAATGATCGTCATAATTTGACAATCCCATTTGCTCGGTGATCTTGTTTTAACTTGAAACATCTTTGATGGGAAATGGACGTATTATGCATTTTATCGTAACTGCTTTCTCATGACCCTTCTCTCTTTGCGAATATCTGCTGGGGATTTTAAACAGAGTATGTCTTTTTTATCTTTTTCTATCTCTTATGTTCATTAATCAATTGGAAATAATCAATTGCTGCATGTGTGAATGTGTCTAAGTGTAAATTGATGTGCCCTTTTTTTTCTGGAATATGTTTTATTTCATCTACTTTGGAGCTCTAACTCTTATCCCTTTGGACCTGCAGGTGGCATGCTGTCGCTTCATGGACATGGGATGCACAAGACGAAACATGTGGGATTTGTAGGATGGCATTTGATGGTTGTTGTCCCGATTGTAAACTCCCTGGGGATGATTGCCCGCTAAGTAAGTCGCTAGAAATTTGATGTTACCCATTTGTTTTCAATTTATCTACTATTTTTCCCGATTGTAAACTCCATGGGATGCCCAAGACGAAACATGCTACCCATTTGTTTTCAATTTATCTGCTATTTTTCCTTTTATGAATTGATTGATAAGTTTTTGTAAGTTGAAGTGATTTTTTTCTTCATTCCCTGCTTTCGTTTTGTTAGAAATTTGATGTTATCATATTTTGGGATAGGTTAATTGGTATCTTGTGGGTAAGTTTGTGAATAAGGATTTGAGTGCATCTACACTGTTTGATGAAATAGCTAAGAGACAAAGTGAGGGCGGTGCAGGAAACCTGTTCGATCGAATGACCCCTGTTTTTCATAACATGGTTGTATGCTCTCAGTTTTGCATAATTAGGGGTGAATTATTCTGAGATAACTTATTGTCGTGATCGGATGTGTAAGAAATGATTGTTGAATTTCAATGACCCTGAAAGTTATGTGCTTGTTGTATTAGGATTTTGAGAAACTAGACTTTATGAAGCTCATAGCCCTAGCTCAAATGGTATTGGACTAGTTAGGGAATTGGGTAGAACGAGGTTCAAATCATATAGTAAATAAAACGAGTTCTGTTTCTGCGGGGTTTGGACTTGGGTGGTTCGATGGAAGGCTTTCCTTTTGTTTATATATTCCCAGTTGTGCACGAATGCCACATATGTGAGCTGTAATATTCTTTAATTGGTTCGTTGCAGTGAGTACTCCATGCAGCTCAATGCTTCTCGTATTAAAGTTCTTCAGTCTCAAAATGATGTGGTTAATTCCATGAAGGAGGCAGCATCTAGGCCTGACATTTTGGACCTAACCCGTTAACCCGACATGACCCGACCCAACCCGTTAATATTTGTATTTGGGTGGATGCTTAACGGATCAGGTCGTTAACGGATGAACCCGTTAAATAACGGGTCACTTTGGGTCAATCCGTTAGACCTGTTAGGATCCGTTAGCACACGTTAGTTGAGGATATTTTAGTAATTTTAGTAAAGTCTTAATAACAAAAAATAAACTTTATGCAAAAAAAATAAAATAATAATAATTGTTAACGGGTGAAACGGGTGACCCGTTAGCTTAACGGGTCGGATTCGGATGATCCGTTAGCTTAACGAGTTGGGTTTGGGTGATCCGTTAACTTAACGGGTCGGGTTGAACCCAACCCAAATTCAATAAACCCGACCCGTTTACAAGCCTAGCAGCATCCAAGGAGCTTCTGAATGTGAGCCAAGTAAAATGATAATTAGGTGTCCTATGAGAAAGGTAAAATGATCATTCAAATGTTGATTAGAAAAGTAGTATGACAAAGAATTGCGTGCCCCGGCGTGTGATGCTCTTATCTATTTCCTATCAAGTGCACAATTTGATGCAGGTGCAAGGCTTTGGATGCAGATGCAGGGCTTTTGATTAGAAAGTAGTATTAAGACAAAGAATTTGGATGCAGATTCAGAGCCTTGGAGTTTTGAGTGTTGTTTTGATAAATTATTAATAAATAATTCGAAAAGCTTGGAGCTAAATTAATTAATTGTTTGTCTATATATGTACTTTGCAATGACTGCAATGGCCGTAGTCTGGTGCACTGAGTTCAGTTGTTTGTTTTGGCTCAGTTAATCTGATTGTAACTTTTTAATTTGCAGGAGGCCGGATTATTGCATTAGGATTTCACTATTCCAGAACTTGCTGTTTCTCTGATTTGCGACAAAGCCTAATGGCTTGAGTTTTCCCCTGTGAGCAGGTTCTGCCTCATCAAACTCCATCCCCTGTGAGCAGTTTTGATGGAGGAGGTCGAGCGGATCGCTAGCAGGGAGCATAGATCCAAAAAGTTTGCTGTTATTCGGGAGTAGGAACTCATCATTACTATAGGAAATTAGGTTACAAGCTTGAAAGCCTTACATGGTGAAACATTTTGTATGACGAGATAAAAAAAAAAAAGTTTTCATGCAATTTTGTAACTTTATCCTAAACAAGTTGTAACTTCATATTGCATAACCAGTTTATTTGTTTTGAGATTCCAAGTACACATTTCTTTTATGGTATTCATGAGTTCTTTTGTTATATTCATGAGTTCTTTTCTAAATTTGGTGTATATATTTTTTATTGAATCTCACTCATCCAATAATATTAATTTTGATAATATCTTAATAAAAAATAAATTAAAATAGTTATTTTCATTATCCTGCCTTTTAGCCCGATACTGCATTAAACGCTTCACTAAATCAGTCCAGCTTAGTCTAGTCTAAGCCAATCCATCTTAGTCCTAGTATAAAAAAATAATCCAGTGCAACAAACGAACCCTTATGGTACTGCGGACTATAGAATATTCCTGAATTTTTAATAATTAAATTTTAATTTTTGTTTTTTTTTTTTCAACAAAGATATAACAGTTAAATAACTCGGATCTCTTATTTTAGAAAACCATATAAAAACTCAGTTACTATAATTTGTTAATTGGAGGGACAGACAAATTCCAGAGACAGGTTCAAAGGAATCCAATCTGGGTCTGTCCACATGTCGCTATAAATCTTGAAAATTACATTACATTCCACAAAATGAGACAAATTGCTCTGTATCATTATTAATACTCTCTAAAATCATCTTAGGTAATAGATTCGTTGTATCAAGAATCCAAGATCATCATCTAGATGCACGTTGTAGCATGCCTCAACTGTATCTTCTCATGAAATAGTATATTAAGTACAGGACACTACAATGACAGTAAATTTATGTCATGAAAATATTTTTTTGTGGTGTGGAAATTACCAGACAAACTCGATATATCGTTGAGGACACGGAAAATATGTTACTGGAGATGAAAGTAATTTTCCACTTTTTTACTGTTATTTATTTTTCTTTCTTTTGCAGCTCCTTTTCAATGTTGTAAATTGTACTCATGTGCTGGGAGCCTGGAGTTATTTACCTTCTTCACCCACACACAAAAATAAGTTAGAATCTTGAAATAACACTTGCCACTCTCCAAATATTGTTTGGTCATCATACAGCAATACAAAAGGCATCACTTAACAAAATAAAAAAACAACAGAAATCTCCCAACTCTCAAAATGTTACGTCTCCCTATTCGAATCTCTATTTCGAGTTGAGGAATTAAAATTTGCTTCTCAATCTTCTACCACCAAATCTCCCTTCTTCTGACTTTTCTGTACAACCTGCCAACAGGATGTCACAAGATTAATCACGTAGCGTTTAAGCGTAGAGGAAAAAGGCATAGCATCTGTTTGGAACAATATTCTGTACAAATGAAGTTATCTGGATACATAGATATGCGGAGAAGGATACCTTTACATGACGCTGGTGTGCTTAGTTGGAAGCTAATGAGCTCCTGGTGCATCTCTCATGCTCAAATTTAGACTGTTCCTCATAGTCCGTCTTCCAATTGGCATGTTGCCTTTCACATTGCCCCTTTGCATCATGGCGACAAACTCACTGTAGTCAATCCTTCCATCCTGCATGCGGGACATAATTGAATCTTTGAGTAAAACCAATAACAAGCCTAAATCTACAAAGACGATTGTACAATACATTATGCTCCATCAAACTATTTTTTGGGATCTAACACATGGCCATAAGAGTCGTAAATATATTTGGTTGCTCAAATAAGCTTCACAATTACTAGATGATTCAAGTATTTGAAGAATGATGCAATTCCCTTATGAAATTTTGGCGACTTACATTATCCTGATCAACTTCTTTTATAATATCTTCAAGAAGGACGTCAGTCATGTTATGTTCTGTACAAGCTTGCTGGAGCTCATCAACCGTAATATAACCACTTCCATCCTTATCAAAGTATCGGAAGGCTGCAACCAGATGTTCTTCACATTCTAGTTTGTTAAGATGAATTGTAGCAGCTAGAAATTCCCCATAATCAATTGTTCCACTGTGGTCCAGATCAGCCTGGGAAAGAACGAAAAAATGCTTAACTTTGTGAAACATAAACAAAGTTGAAGATAAATAACCACAAAATTGAGAATTAGACTAGTAGGCAAGCCAACTACAGATGATTCTGTTTGGAAACAAGCATCTTACCGCAGCCATAAGATCACATATCTCTGTATCCTTCATGGTAGAGCCGTATCTCCGCAAACCAGCTTTAAGTTCATCAAATGTTATTGCACCACTATTATCAGTATCCATAGCCTGAAACATCTCTCTGAGTCCAGCAATCTCCTCCGCAGATAGGCTTTCAGCTATTACCTGATATAACATAGAGACAAAAAAACCTTAAGCATAAGTTGTAGCATTCTAGTTAAGGGGCATGCCAAAAGTCAACGTCACATATAAATATTCTTTACAAGAAAATACTAAATCTGATAGAAATGCCAAACAGTGTTCCAGACTCCCATGCACTTACCAGTAAAGCCATCTTCTTTAACTTGTTCATAGCAGAAAACGTTTTGAGACGAGAAAGTACAACTGGATCTCTATCAGAAGCAACCCCATTTTCGCAAATCCAAGGGTGACCTAAAAATGAAAATTCATCACTTAAAAGCAAAAAGTGTGCAACATATACTGGACAATTATTGTTAATTCCACTTCAACAGAATCATTCTGGTTGTTCATTTCCTCAAATTTGAGAACCCTCACTTTAAAAAGGAAATTTAAGAAATTGGTGTGACTTGAAAAGGAAGCAAAATTTCCCACGCCATACACTTTAAATGGATAAAATCAAGGCAGACTTTGAAAGTTTATTTCTTTATGGCAAATTTCGCTACAGAAAAAGTAGCCGTTTCTCTTTAAACATTGAATGTGCCAAATTCAAATTCAGAAATAAACTCAAAAGGGCTTGAGCTTAGACAACCGTGTTTTGGCGTCTCAGCTGCTTAACAAATTTCGGGGCATAATTTATCAACAAATGTTGTGCACGTAGTAGTAATGACATGATCCATCCAAAGAAAAGAAACAGAGAACCATTAACAAATAAGCTACCTATTTCTGGTCGCACTAAATCATGCACAATATTGTACTAAAATAATTTAAACTGCTAAGAGTGGTTAAACATACATAGCACTTCATGTGCAGTTAAGCGGTCTGAAGGCCTAGAACATAGCATCTTCCGGATTAGGTCTTTTGCACTGTCAGATATTTCAGGCCATGGCTCTGATTCAAAGTCTATATATCCCTTCAAGACCGCATCAAATATCCCCTGCTGGGTTTCTGTATCCCAATCACCAAACAGGTAAAACTATTCAGTAACAGGAAACATGGAGTAATCTCTGTTTCGTTAAAATATGAAACCACCATTACCTGCCCAAAATGGTACCACACCACTGAGCAGAATATACAGTGTAACTCCTGCAGTCCACACATCCGCTTCTGGTCCATAATGATTGAGGAGTACCTCCGGAGCAACATAATATGGGCTTCCAACCACATCAGTGAAAACTTGACCTGGAAAGGACGTAATAGTGTTAAACAAACATTGGTTTCTAAATGACAACAAGGACTCAACATGCATTCCAGTTCAATAATTGTCTAGGGGCAGTAGCAATAAACAGGAATTAATGAAATTTTATTACTGTATACATGCATTCCAGTTCAACATGCATTCCATGTGAACACAATATAAGATATGCCATATTACTATTTGATCAACATTAGGTGAAGTAAACTCACATCATAGCTAAACTCAACAAAACGAAATGAAATTACTTTTGTTTGTTTACCCGGTTTGAAGAAAACTGAGAGTCCAAAATCAATGGCCTTGAGAGAAAAATCATCGTCCTTGTTAACCAACAAGAAGTTTTCGGGTTTCATATCTCTATGCATGACACCAAGTGAATGGCAAGCTTCAACAACACCAACAATAATCCGTGTCAACTCAGCTGCCTTTCTCTCACTGTAATAAACCCTCTGGACAATGTGATCAAACAACTCACCCCCGCCACAAAGCTCCATTACAATATGAACATACAGTGAATCCTCATAAGCGCCCTTGATTGTCACAATATTCTTGTGACCAGCCAAATGGTGCATTATCTGAATCTCCATCCTAACATCGTCCACATCCTCCTTCGAGATCAACTTCCTCTTGGAGATAGACTTACACGCATACTGACAGCCAGTAGCAATCTCAATGCATAAATACGTAGACCCAAATTGTCCCTGTCCTAATTTATGACCCAACGTGTAAAGATCACGAATGTTGGCGGTCTTGTGACCCAACACATAATAACTTTGGTTATCAGCACTTCTCCTCATGATGTTAGGGAGAAACTCGATTGATAAGTGTAGCTTTTCAACCGCTGTTTGACTTAAATCTAAGGACTTCAAATGTTCCATTGGCTCCAAGATCTCTGGGAAGTTTTTAAGTTTGGAGCAGCCAGACAGATTGAGTTCCTCGAGATATTTCAACTTACAAATGCTTTTTGGGATACTTGAAAGCCTTTTGCAACTTTGTAGTTCAAGTGTTTTGAGCGCAGGGAGAAACTCGATTGATGAGTGTAGCTCTTTAATCGCTGTTTGACTTAAATTTAAGTGCTTCAAATGTTCCATTGGCTCCAATATCTCGGGGAAGTTTTGAAGTTTAGAGCACCCAGAGAGATTGAGTCCCTCGAGATATTTCAACTTACAAATGTTGGCTGGTAGACTCACAAGTCTCATGCAACCAACCAATGATAATTTACTTATATCCCTGGGAAGCTCAGAAAACTCACCAAGAGATGTGCAGCCATCTAGATTAAAACAACCAGAGACTTTCAGCTTACACTTGTTGCTTGGAAGTTTCTCAAGGTCTTTACAACCAGTAATATCCAAGTGAGAAATATTTTCATGAGACCAAACTGATTCGGGCAACTCCTTTATACCACTGTTTTGTAAATCTAAGTATATAATATTCCTTGGCATCTCTGGAAGATACTCGAGACTGGTGCAGCCTCCAACATCAAGATGAGTAAGCTTGTCAAGACGTTGAAAAGACCAAGGAATTTCAACCAAACTTCTACAGCCAAAGAGATCTATGCTCACAATTTTTTGACTCTCAGAGAGATTTGGAAGTTCAGATAGGTACCAAGAGTGCTTCAGATCGATCACTTCCAAGTTCACAAGTATCTGCAGCAAATTAAATAGAAATATCAAGAATTAAAATATAATTTCTACACTTCATTTGATACAAGAATTAAAATAGGTATAAAATATACCTGGTCTTCTTTACAAAGCTTCTTAACTTGGCTATATCGCATATGAAACTCAACTAGATTTTCAGGAGAAAAATTTGACGGCAAAGATTCCAGTGGATAACGAGGCCAGTAGAGATAACGAAGAGAGTCGGGAAGGTCTAGAGAAGCGACAAAAGAGTCGGGAAGGTCTAGAGAAGCGACAAAACTATCCACCATTAGCATTTTTAGGTTAGACATCACTTTGAGGTTAGACATCACTTTGAGGTCTGCACTTTTCAATGCTCGCTTTTTAATCTTTGACCAATCAAACATTATGGCTTGAACATTTGGAGTTTCCTGACAATAAGAACAAAGTTTAAATGTATATATTTTGAACATGTTAAAATGTAATGCTGTACAAGTGTATCCTCCTCTAGTTGTCTGAAAAAACAAACATTTGTTCATATTCCAAAGACTTCCTAACACAATAAAAATTCAATCAAATTATTTTTTTAAGAATCAGACTTCTTTATTATAAATGAGTTTTACTTTGTTGTGTTATCATCTAAAGTTCGTTTTTCGTTTTTCTTAGAAAAAGAACAGAAAAAAATTGAATGCATTTGGCTCTTACCTTGTTAATCGTCAGTACACGATATATATCCTCATCGTTGAACAACCTATTCCGTTTTCCGGGATCTTCAATACATTGTTCCTGAACAATTGTTCTTCCCAATTCTTCAAGCAGATCATGCATCTCTATAATTTCCCATCCTATTGACTTAATTGATATGAGAGACTTATCAACGAGAACTCTAATTCCAGCCGCCGCAAAGCGTCCACGGATAGCCAACCTTTTTCTTACCTCTTCCACTTCATTCCCTTTATGAAAACATGCTATATCCAAAAATATCTCCTTCTCATTTCTTTCCAATCCATCATAACTTAGTCTCAACACTCTCTGGAGCTTTTCATTGGGAAACTCTTTCAGTTTGTCCAATTCCTCTTCCCATTCTTCTTTGCTCTTGCAACTGAAGAACAAGGACCCCAGAAGTTTAAGAGCTAAAGGAACGCCTCCAGCATAGTCCACCGCCTTTTCTGCCAACTCCTTATAATCTGTTATAGGAGTACTTTTATTCTTGAAAGCGTGAGAACAGAAGAGCTGAAGAGCATCATCCCGTTTTAATCCCTCAACCTCGTAGATCTTACCCTCTTCAGTAAGTGTTCTCTTATCCTTACTTGTGATAATGATTCTACTTCCAGTGGCATACCGAAGACGCTTGCCAACTAAACGTTCCAGCTGTATTGAATCACTCACATCATCAAGAACGATGAGGACCTTTGTACACTTGAGCCTATCTCGAACAAAAGTTGATCCCATGGATAGACCTTCTCCCTTTAATATCTCCTTAAGAAGTTTTTTTTCCAAGTGATCTAGTCCATCTGCTTTTTCTGAGTTCTCCCTAACATTCTTAAGAAAACAAGAAGCATCAAATTTAGAAGAAAGTCTGTGGAATACAGTTTCAGCGAGGGTGGTCTTGCCAATGCCACCCATTCCCCAAATACCAACAGTGATGCAAGCGTCTTGTGAATGAATGCCCAATAGCTCTTCAATTTGCTGAATGCGGCTTTCAATTCCAACCAGGCCCTCTAAATCACATGATGATTCACAAATCAATTTGGTCCAAATACGATCGACAACATTCTTAATTAGATCTGCCTCCGTCCTGGCATAAATATTTATATGATTATGTAGAAAAAGGCAATAGTTTGTCTTAAATATGCTTTACCAAATTTTAGCACAAATCGAACTGTCACAAGTTTAAAGAAAATTTATAACTTTAGACAAGTTAAAGAATGAGTTAGTTACCCGGATTTGTTTGAATGATGAAACCCAGATAGTTTGCCTGCAGTCGTCAAAGCATCCCTCCACTTGTGCACCTTATCGATACCGTCCTCGAAACGCTTTTCAAGTTGAGCAAATGCATCCGCATAACTCCCGTGTTGGTTTCGTACATGAGATGGATTGATGTGGTAGAATACGGGTAGAACCATGTGGCCATATCTTTCCTTGCATTCGAGTATATGCACAAGCTCATCCAAACACCATGTGGAATCAGCATAGTTTTGTGAGAAAATGATCACCGAAATGGTGGATTTCTCGATTGCTTCTAGAAGGGCAGGTCCGATTTCTTCTCCTCTCTGAAGTCTGTTATCGATGTAGGTTTCAATTTTCTTCTCAAGTAAGGCAGCATGAAGATGGCTGGTAATACCAAGGCGGGTGTCCTCACCTCTGAAACTGATAAACACATCGTACTTTTCTCGACGAAGGGGGATATCAGCATCCTCGTCATCAGCAACAGCAGCACCATCAGCTACAGCAGAATCAACAGCAGAAGACGAAGAAGAAGAAAAAGTCAAAGATCTGCAGCACAAGTACAACGGAGTCCCGATGGCGATGGCGATGACGATGATGTTGAAAACTTGAACGAACCCAATCAACTCCATCTCTCTATTTCTTGGATCAGATAGCAGAAAGAGAATCTGAACTACAGTCGCACCTGACACTAGATTGGAGTTTACCACAGAAACATTGAAATTGTAGTCTGTGCACAAAGTTACAAAGGCTCCATGGAGGACAAAAATTGAAAATTCGGAGAAACAGGGATTAGTCACTTTCACATACTTAAAAATACTTTATAATTGATAATGCTGCTACTTTAAAATTTCTTTTAAATATGCCTAATTATAAGAAAAGTTTGTCCAAAACATTTTCTGTAAATCATCTTTCAATAAAATATACGCTTGTTCCAAGAAAATCATCAGAGATTAAACAATCAAAAACAAAAAATATATATAAACACGAAATTGCGCCCACTTTCAGCGCAGAAACAATCTGTTTTCAAACGGAAGAAAGGTTATAGTATATCCATAGTGGAGGACTTAAAAGAGAGAGAGGTGGAATTTCCTCTGATGGAGGAAGTTTGCTAGTGCTAGTGGAGGACAATGGTACTTGGTCATAAAAGGGACACATTGGATGGGACCTTCCCCTGCGCACTTAGAGCAACTCCACCCATAGAGCTCTTCTCCTGGCAATCTACTATTGAATTCACCATATTGAACAGTAACTGCCTTTAATGAATAGTAATTACCCTTAATAAACAGTAATTGCCATTTGCATCTCCACCCTTGGAGCCCTCCCCCTGGCAATAGGCAATAAAATATTAGTTTTTTTGTTTGTTTAAATAATACAAAATAAAATTATTTGTAATTTTGGATAAGATTTTTTAAATCGTTCTCGTTGCGCCACGTGTCATTTTAAAAAAAAAAAACAATTATTTAGCGATGGATTTCGATAAGATTTTTATCCAATGTCATCGTGCCATGTAGATGGAGAAGAAGTGGTATTTATAGAAAAGTAAAAACAATTTTTTACAATTTTTTTTTAAATTCTTATTCAAATAATTAATCTCTGCCGTTAGATTTAAAAAAATTTGAATTCCAACACTCCAGATTGTGCCACGTGTCACAACGGTAACTTTTCTTAATTTTAAAACTTTTTTTTTTAATTTATAAAGCAGATTAATATCAACCGTTGATCTCAGATCGAACGGTTGATATAAATCAGTTTTTTTTTTAATTACCGTTGCAAATCGGACGGCTCGTATTAAAGAGCCGTTGGGATCGAACGGACCGTGGGAAGCCACGTGGCTTCCCAACGGTCACTGGGTTTTCTGAGGCGCACGGTAGGGGTGGGTTCAAATAACCGAAAACCGAAAAAAACCGAAAACCAAACCGAACCGAGGCCGAAAAAAACCGAACCGAACAAAAACCGAACCGAAACTGCCAAACCGAACCGAACCGAATCTGGCTGGTTCGGTTTCGGTTTTTAAGGTTGGGAAACCGAACCAAACCGAACCGAACCAAACATATATATATATTTAATTTTGTTTTCAATATTATAAATAATTTAGTGATACAATCATAAGAAGACATAACCTGTTACCAAGTTGGTTTGCTTGAAACTTTTCAAGCCCCTGTGCATGGGTTCGAATCCTCATGCCTCTAGGGTTTCAGAAAAGTTTTTTAGTTTTTTTGAGCAATCAAGAACCTTTTAACTTAAAATTAAATATAAATACTTAAAACCTGCTGCTGTGAGGAATCGAACCCCTTCCGTCCAGGGGGATAATTCCTTCAAGCCAACTTGACGGTAGGCTTTGTGTTGTTATAATTGTACCAGTAATATATTTATAGGTTTCTAATATTTAATGCTTTATAAAATTTCTTAAGATTAAAAACCCTAGCCGTCACTCTCCCAATCCCATTTCGGTTTTCCCTTTTCTCAAGCACTCTCTCCCCTCCGCTATTTCCTCTCTGCCTCTCTCTCTCTCTCTCTTTCTCTCCCCTTCCTCTCCCCTTCCTCTCTTCCTCCAAATCACTATCTCTCTTTGTGGATTTCGACGGTAGCAAAGAGGAGAGCCAAACCACAGTGGCAGTGGAGCAGTCCAGTGGCACAACATGGGACTGATGGGCAGTTGACGGCGGACGAGGGCAGTCATTAATCATTGCAGATCCATGATCCATGGTTCTTTGTTTTTGTGTTGTGTTATTGGTTAATTTTCGTTTGCAGATTTTTTTTTTCAATTTCGTTGGTTCTGAACTTCTGATGAATTTGATCTGTAGCTTCTAAACTTCATGGTTTTGCAATTTGTTTTGGGTATGCTGGATTTGGTTAGGTAACTTCATTTATGAACACTATTAGACTATTTGTTGAGGTTTGATTAATTTGTGAGAGTACATACGGTTTGATTAATTTGTTTTGGGTATGCTGTTGCTGAAGCCTGGATTTGTTGTGGCTGTTTTGCATTTTTTGGAGGAAAAAAAAAAACCGAAAAAAACCGAAACCGAACCGAAAAAAAAATCGAACCGAAAAAAACCGAAAAAAATTTGGACCGAACCGAAATTTCGGTTTTGGCAAAAAACCGAACCGATAAGAACCGAACCCAGCCCTAGCGCACGGGCCCGTGCCCTGAATTCCGATCGGGCGACGCGCCCCCACTCGCAAGTGAGGGGCACGCGCCTGACACAAAAAAAATAAATAAAAAAAAAGGCCGGACACAGGCCTTGTGTCAGCCTAACGTCACAGGCCTCGGGCAGCAGGCCTGTCAATCCCCACGGGCCTGGCCCTCGGGTTCCCACCCTCACTCGAGCTCTCCAAGGCTGGAGGCCTACCCACCGGCCCTCGGGCCCTTTCCTGGAGCCTGTCCCCCGAGCAACCACCATGGGTCGAGTTGCTCTTAGACACGGCCAAATAAAAAAAATAAAGGTTTAGATTTTGGAGACGATTTTTCTGTAAAAGCTGGGAGGGATTGAAACGGTGCAATGAGAGTGGTTGGGGTGGGATAGATCTTTCAGTGTGACCATTGCATGAGATAATACACCATGTATTATTATATAAATGGTAAGATGTGTGTGTTAAAAAGTTAATAACTTAAAGAATAAAATTTCCCACAATTTATATAAAAACATGTGATGTATCATTCGTGTTCCGGTCATAATTTATTAATAATTGTACCCATTTGTCTTTAAAAATATACCACTTTCTTATATGTAAAATGTACCCATTTTTTTTGTAAGTACCATGACACACCACGACCAAAGTCAAGGCATGTTGGCCGACACCCGAAGGTGACGTAATCATTTAATGAGTGATGTAGAAATGTGGATAAATTTAAACCGAAGTTAGAACATAATTAACTAATAAAGAGTGAAAGCAATAGTGTGAAGTACTCATAAAGCGTAAGTAAACAGAGCAAATCTAGTTAAGGTCCTTATTACCCAACTGGAAACAAGCTCCTACATTTATTTGGAGAAAATGTCAGAATCGCCAAAGTTCCCTCGTGCGCCACCGAAGACTCAGCTAACTAAAACCTGGAGAGGCGAAAAACAAAAGGCGTGAGTGGGCGAAAATAAAGGTTTTCGAAACACATTTCTCTTTCGAACATACTAACCCCTCACTGTAAATCAAGTATAGTTTCCAGAAAACATAATATGTATAAGTATGAAATCAAAAGTAAAGCAACCCTAATTTGAGAAACACAATTCATAATGTCTCAACTGAGGCACAAGCAAATCAAGTACTCATCTACAATATCCAATACGCATTCATAGCTATCAAGTTCTCATCAATAACATTAAATACTAATAAATGTGTGTGTGTGTGTGTGTGTATGTTTAACACACGAGTTCAGTCAGCGGAAATTGATATGAATATGACTGGGTGTAATCATAATATATTCGCTTTTTACTACAATCACATGAGGACTGGCGCTATGTGCTGTAAAACTTAAGAACACAGAGATTTCACTTCAGTTGCATACCCCTTGAATGCGTGGGATGCATGTATTTATGACCACTTACAGATTACAATCAGGGTTTGAATTAACCCTACTTACACCGAAGTTCAAAATTCAAAAGATACAAACTAAATCTACAAAGATTACAACCAGTTTCAGTTAGAAGAATAATTCAAAAGGAAGTCCTATAAACAAGGAGATAAGACTCCTAAGCACAACACGACTATTCAAGAAGCGTTGGTTACCACCAATGGTTAACTTCATCTAACAGCCCCTCGCAAGCTGACTGGGGTGGAAGAACAGGAAGCTTGGATACCAGCAACTTGAAGCACGACGATGACAGTCATTTGGTAAACAAATCAGCTAGCTGATCTTAAGAACAAATGTAATTTCCTATTAATTCAGCATGAACAACTTTTTCCCGAACATAATGATAATCAACCTCAAGATGTTTTGTGCGCGAATGGAAGACAGGATTGGAGGCAAGTGCAATGGAAGAAACATTGTCACACCAAATCGTTGGTTGACTAAGATGCAAGTGTAGATCCTTAAAAAAAGATCTAAGCCATGATAACTCAGTTGCAGTATAGGCCAACTGTCTGTACTCAGCCTCCGCACTAGACCTGGACACTGTCTTATGTTTCTTTGAACTCCAGGAAACAAGATTGGGACCCAAATAAATGCAGTAGCCACTCGTGGAATGTCTGGTATCTGGATTACCAGCATAATCAGCATCAGAAAACGCAGACAGCGTAGCATTTCTAGGTTTGTAAAGAAGTCCATGAGTATGCGTGGCTTTCAAGTAACAAAGAATACGTTTGACAGCCTTCCAATGAGCAAGTTTGAGTGCATGCATAAACTGGCATACTTGATTAATCGAGTAGGATAAATCAGGACGAGTAGTAGTAATGTACTGCAATGCTCCAATAACACTACGATAGTATGCTGGATTTTCATATGACTCACCATCATACACACTTAGCTTCTGGCCACATGAAATTGGAGTTGATATAGGCTTAGCTTCAGTGAACTTTGTGCGTGTGAGAATATCCAAAGCATACTTGGACTGACTGAGATGCATGCAATTCCCAAAATACTTCACTACAATATCCAATACGCATCTACAATATCCAATACGCATCCATAGTTATCAAGTTCTCATCAATAACATTAAATACTAATAAGTGTATGTGTGTGTGTGTATATATATATATATTAATAAGTGTGTGTGTGTGTGTGTGTGTGTGTATGTTTAACACACGAGTTCATTCAGCGGAAATTCTGATATGAAAATGACTGGGTGTAATCATAATATATTCGCTTTGTACTACAGTCACGTGAGGACTGGCGCTATGTGCATCACATACGAGTTCGAGGTGCTTATTGCAACCTAGGACAGGACTGGCACCTACATTGGATCCAAGTGAGCGAACGGTGCTATGTGAACGACACGTGAAACTCGCTTTGTCAAGAAGAAAACAGCGATAGGGAAAACATTGACAAATCAGTTGCCGTCATGCCAGATCCGGTGTAACAGCCCGTCCC